GTACTTTATTGGATCCAAAGAAATGCTCCCACTTCTGTAAACATTGAAGATAGAACCTATGTGGAAGAAAAGAGAGGAAGGAGAGAAATGGTTAATTTTTTATCTTTTCTTGTCTACTGATACTACTTGTACTCAATTCATTGCCTGCCTTAACTGGTCAGAAGAATCTGAGGAGCTAACAAGGTGCAGACAGTTTATTGCCTTTGTATTGACTCAACCCAGCTAGCCACCAATGCTTGTTTTTTCCCTTGTTTATAACTTGATTTGCTAACTATGCCCTGGCTGCTTTTGGTGACTGTGGAAAAAGGAAGTTATGGATTAAGATATTTAAAAGTTTAAATATTGTCAAGTTAGTTCCATTCATGATGAAATAAAATGGATTAAAATCATATCATTGTACATTTAAATTAAAAATTCCCAAATATCAATAAATAATACTTTTGGATATTATTGCCCCAGAAACCAGCTTCTCAAGAATAGAAGTCATTTTATGTGTCATGTAAATTATAAATTTAGCCTTCCATATATTTCCCACTTTTGCTAATTCGTAGGTAAAAAATATAAATTTAGGTCTTAGTTTTTCTCCCAGAAAAACTTAGCCTGTAGAATGGATAGAGACTAGTTAAATGTTCATCAAACTCAGTTTCTCTTCTTTCTGAACACAGCTTGACTGTACATCTCAGTCTCCCTTGAAATTAGGTGTGTGGTCATGTGACTGAGTTCTAACCAAGGGAATGTAATCAATAGTCCAGTTTCCAGGGCTGGCCCATAGAAAACCTGACAGCTCTTTCCTCCTTCCCTCAGCCAGATGTCAATGTCCAAAGAGTTCTTGGAAGTCATAATTGGAGAAGGCATAATCTAATCATCCTGGAACTCTAAATGACCTCCCTGCCCGTGCCCCAACACATAAACCTACCTGGAACCACTTGGACTAGTTTCCTGGGAAAGAAATAAACTTCAGTTGTATTGAGCCATCACTTGTTTATGGGACTCTGTTATAGCACCTAGTCTATCTCACCTTATACAGGGACTATAGTGTTCAGAGATTGGAAATGAAAATATAATTAAACAATTTTATGGTTTTTAAAAATAAGCCTATTTTTAAAATAAACTTAAAGCTCTTGATGTGCTTTTAGGTCCAATGGTCCATGATGGTGTGAAAAAAAATGAGAAAAATACTAGCCCCTATATAATTTGTGTTGGCTCACACACACTGCATGCAAAGTTGTGAGAATAAACGAGATGTACAACTCTTCTAAATGCATCTTTGCCTCCAGTTGATGATCTCAGATTCATCCTCTCAAGACACATCAAGAACACAGATGTTTCTGTTCCTCTTCTCCATCAGAGTTCACCCGAATAAGGCAGGCTCACCTCACTGCATCAGAGGACCAGAAAAGGAATATACTGAATAGAAAAATGTAATTTATAATGCAGAAACAGACAATGAAATTAGAGATGTTCTCACTTATAAGTGGGAGCTAACATTGCATAGAAACAAACATAAAGACGCAAATGTCAGACACTGGGGACTCCTAAAATGGGAAGGGAGGAAGGGGGCAAGGGTTGAAAAACTGCCTATTGGGCATCATGCTTACTATGTGAGTGATGGGTTCAATAGAAGGCCACACCTTCATCATCACAGACAGACTCTGTAGCAAACTGGCACATGTTACCCCCGAATATAAAATAGAATAGGATAAAATAAAATAAATGAAAAATGCAATATAATCTTTGCAATAAAGTTGCTACAGAAACCCAAATATAATTAGCATTATTTCTCTCATGGGTTTATTGAACCAACACATTTAAAAGTTAGATCTCAGGGGGGCTCAGTGGCTCAGTCTATAATCCCAGCACTTTGGGAGGCCGAGGCGAGTGGATTGCCTGTGTCTGCAGGTTTGAGATCAGCCCAGGCAACTTGGTGAGATCTTGTCTCCACAATAAATAAAAAAAAGAATTAGCCGGCATGGTAGCCTATGCTTGTAGTTCCGGTTACTTAGAAGGCTGAGGCGGAAGGATCGCCTGAGCCCAGTAGGTCGATGCTGGGGTGGCCATGAGCATAACACTGCACTCCAGCCTCGGCAACAGAGTGAGACTCAAACTCCAAAAAAAAAAGGTTAGGTCTCAAAGATCCTTTACTAGTATTATGAGCTGAATTGTATCCCCTCTGTCAATTTATATTTTGAAGTTCTAACTCCCAGTACCTCAGAATGAGCCTATATTTAGAAGTAGAGCCTTTGAAGAGCTGATTAAGGCAAAATGAGTTCATATGTGTGGAGTCCACCTAATCCAATATGACTGTGGTCTTTAAAGAAGAGATCAGGACATATACACACACAGAGGAAATGCCAGTGAAGTCACAGAGAAAAGACCACCACCTACAAGCCAGAGAGGGCCTCAGAAGGTACCAACCCTGCTGACCCCATGATCTTGGAATTCTAACCTCCAGAAATGTGAGAACATATATTTCAGTTATTGACACCACCCATTCTATAGACTTTGTTATGGCAACCCTAGCAAACTAATAAAAATAGAGCAGAATTTACTGCTAGTATCTGAAATTAAGAGCTTTTCTGGTTATTCAAAGTTCCTCTCCAAAAATCTGGGCCAGAAAAACCAACAGAAATAGTCACAGGTCAAATCTGGTAAAAAGAAATTCAAGTTATTTCACAAACTATTTTATCATGCTGGAATGTTATTGCCTCAAATGGAACAAGAATGAGAGGATAGTGACTGGGGCCTTGATAGCTTCAGTGCAGGTTGACAATGCTTTTTGTAACAGTATTTGATCTGAGGGAAAATTTGAGATGCTTTCTAGATTTCTTCACACCTACATAGATATACTTACCATGGAAAGGGTAAACATAAACTCACTGTGGATGGACAAATACAGCAATGCTGAGAAATGATGGCAATGCCTGCTGCTAAAATCAGAAGAAAACAAGTGCATGACTTAAACATTAACAACGTTTAAAAATAAGTGCATGACTAACAAAGAATCTCAAAAGAAAGAGAAAAAAAATTGAAGAACCAATTAAATTTTATCCCATGACATTAGAAGGGATTGTCTATAACAAAAGTCCCTTTGACTTTCAATTCACCAAATATTTTTAAAGTGCATGCATGGTACTATGGGGGAAATTAGAATTAGCTATTGACCTTGGTTGGGCGCTATAGCTCACGCCTGTAATTTCGGCATTTTGGGAGGTCAAGGCGGGGGATAACTTGGCCCAGGAGTTCAAGACCAGGCTAGGCAATATAGTGAAACCTCGTCTCTGCAAAAATAAAAAAAATTAGCTGGGCATGGTCATGTGCACCTGTAGTCTCAGCTACTCAGGAGGCTGAGGCAGAAGGATTACCTGAGCCCAGGAGATTGAGGCTGCAGTGAGTCGTGATCATGCCATTGCACTCCAGCCTGGGCAACAGAGTGAGATCCCGACTCAAACAAACACACAAACAAACAAATTGACCTTGACTTCAAATACTTCTTGATTTAAAATGAGAAAAAAGATACAGACACAAATGACCGTAATTTCATGTAGGCTTTAGTAAAATCTGTAATGAAAGTAAAAATATAATGAAATCACAGACAACAGAAGATAATTCTGACTTAGGGCACTGAATGACACATTGATAGAGCAGCATTTACATCGGGTCTGGAGGTTGACAGGTGGGGTTGCAGAGGGAGAAATTTTCAAGGCAGATGAATTGCCCTGAGCAAAAACCGATGTTGTTGAGTGAAAATAGTGTTCATAGCCAGGCTCAGTGGCTCAGCCTTTAATCCCGTGCCTTTGGGAGGCTGAGGTGAGTGGATTGCCTGAGCCCGTGGGTTTGAGACCCAC